CCTAAAGTCAAGGTAAACAATATCCACTGCTCTGCCCTCGTCCATCGAGGCAGTCATCTCATCAGGCTGAAGGCTGTCAGGTGGACTAGGCGTGATTTCCCCTTAATAAATCCATGCTGACTGCTCCCAGTGACCTTCCGCTCCTTCATGTATCTGGAAACGGTAGTCAGGACGAGTTGCTCCTTCACCTTCCCAGAGATGGAGGTGAGGCTGACTGGCCTGTAGTCCCCCGGATCCTCTTTCTTGCCCTTCTTGAAGATGGGGCTGACATTGGCTTTCTTCTAGTCCTCAGGCACCTCTCCCGATCACCGTGACCTTTCAAAGAGAATTGAGAACGGCCTCACAACGATATCGGCCAGCTCCCTCAGTGCTTGTGGGTGCATGCTGTCAGGTCCCTTCTTAGTTCCTATCTTGCCATAGGAGGGAGCGATTTCCATGAAGTATGTATCAAAATACCATTACATTATCATATACGACCTACAAGTTTATGCAAAATTACATTGCAAGTTCCTAAAACTTCTGCCTGTAAGGAAGCACTGTCTTGTATTCTCTTTCAATGCAGTTAACGCCATCTGCTGGTTTCCTGCTTTCAGTACAGGATTCAGTACTATATTCAGTTCACAGAACACAGAAATCCAAGAGGAAGTTCCATTAAGGAGGTTATTCCAAGGAGTACATGAATTACACACCAAGTAACGAAGGTTTTTAAATGGTATCTGAAGTGTAAGATGGAGCAGGAAAATCTACCGAGATGGCATAATCTAAACAGTATCTTCCTTCCTTTTTCGTTTGTTTTCATTTCAAGGACGAAACATCTCTAAAGAGAATCTGAGTGACCGCAGGAAGGGAGAAGCACTGATAACTGCTCTGCTGCTCAGCTGATGATCTGATACCACGTGTCTATCACTTCAGAACAGTATGAGAAAGTAAGTGTGAAGTTTTAGAACCGACTCATTACTGTCCTGTCAGATGTCACCATTTCCTCACTCCACTCCTCCACCACTCATATTTCTCTTCCAAATCCAGTTCTGCTGAGGTACTGACACAATTTACAAGCTCGTATCTATTTTTAAAAACTTCTGAAATGATTTATAACCACAAGACTTTGGTATTAACCACATCACATAACTTCCTCATCTCACTGTTTCCTATTTTTTAAATAACAAAATAGAGTACAAATATTATTCAGGATGAGCTGGGGCAGCAATGAATGAAATATTTCCTTTTCTATTATGATTTTAAATGTATTGTACTTTTATTTAGAAATTCTCCACACTCAGACTGAGTAAAAAGTCATCTTCCTTCCTGTGGAAGAACTTGCAATGTCAGGGTGCTCAATGCTGGGAAGGATGCACCGGACCAGAAGTCAACCTTTTAATGAGATAGTAGTAGAAACCCTCACAGGTGACTCGCTGTTTCTGTCAAGTGTTCAGATGTTGATGGGAGTCCTACATTAACTCATTTTCATATAGCTGGCAACAGTGAAGCCTGGGCCACCGCTGCAGGTCAGGCAGCAGTTAGCAATTTCAGGTGCCCAATTTGAGTGCACATTGTCTGGGATTACAGTATTCTGAACCAAGGGGACATATTTAGGGCAAAGCTGTCTCTGTCTTAAACCAGAGAGGCTTTTTGAAATAATATACCATTTAACAACACATCACTTCATGTTTGCCGTACCATCAGGAAAGCTCTTCTGCCTGTACAGTGGGATTTTCTGGGTGTACAACTTTATTGCTAAATCTGAGAGTTTTATGCAAGGATATGTGCACAATGTGAGTGTAAAGATGAAGCTTCATAGCATGACCAAAGGATAACTATACAGAATTAAGATAAACAATCATCAGTTGAAAACACCAAGATATGGAACTGTCTGAATTCAGTCAAGTATTAGTCAACGTAAACCATACTGGGTAAAGCACTAGTTCTTGCTACACAGATAGTGAAGGTAGTGGAGAACGGGTCTTTTAACTGATAAACCAACAGCAGTAAATTTGTCTTTCTCCCCTCCTGCAGTTTTCTGCTATATTTCTTTATTTATATATTATCTTCTTTGTATATGTTCTCCATGGTGGAAAAGTTTTACCTTCCATGATAACGTCACAGGGAGGCCAATGCTGGACACACACACAGAATGTGAAAGATGATCAACCATGGCTGAATCTTCAAGAGTTCCCTAACTCAAAGGTTTCTTTTTGATTTTTTACCTCTAGATTTCTGCTTAACAAGTCAATCTTGCGTCTTTTGAGCTAGTACAGTCTCCCAACAAAAATCACAGGGAGAAGCAGCGTATGGCACAGTAATAGATGTGTGCTGTGCTCCATTACAGCTGAGAACTAACTCCAAGAGTTGCAAAAGCACCATGGAACAGTCTTCAGACAGCAAGTAAAATCTCACATTGGCTCAAAACTATTTTCAGGAGCTCAAGCAGGTCTGGATATATATTAGATAGGAACTGTTATTATATAAAAGCTCAAGACTATCCTATAAAAATATTAGGCAACATATCTCTACGTGCAAAAACTCTTGCTGTGGTTGACGTAACCCTTTCATTAGCACACCAGCTGCTCAATCAACTTGATGCTTGTGTAACACTTTTGGGATTTCTGTATGACACTTTAGTAGTGAGGGAAAAACGTGTTCTGAAGGCATGCTCAAAGTAGCAAGAAGGGCTGCATGATGAAAGGATGAAGAGGGTTTTAATGGTGATAAATCTGAACTTTGTGATGAGCTTGCTATTATACTAACAAGAGTCCTCCCCATAAAACTGCCCTCAAAGGACACCTTTACACATTTGTGATAGACCCATCATTCACACATTACGCAGCTGATCTGCTATGCACTACTCCAGCTATCTCTAACAATTCTGGCAACTACTGTGGCACTGGATAATCAAAACATATCTACCTTCCTTCTAAGACATCCCAAGCTCATTTAGTCGGTTTAGTTACCTTGTCTGTTGAAAATGACATTGATGAAAATCTCAGTTATCCAAAAATGGTTGATAGATTCAAATCAGGGGAAACTTGCAAGTGACACTAAATATAATGCATCTAATAGCATTTTGAATTATGCTATTTCATTTATATAATAGGATGTTCAAGGAAATTACTTCTCATACACAACATGCAGATATTGTTTGAAACTTGAATATGTGTTTTCCAGGGTGGCTGTTAAGTATATGCATATCGACCGTACATTATGAAATTTCAAATGATTTCTATTCAAGATTTGTTGGCATCAATTTATCTTTTTCACATGCAAGAGGCTAGTGGCTATTTTTCATAGAATCACAAAATGACAGAACTTTTGAGGTCAGAAGGGACCTTTAAATATTGTTTGAAACTTGAATATGTGTTTTCCAGGGTGGCTGTTAAGTATATGCATATCGACCGTACATTATGAAATTTCAAATGATTTCTATTCAAGATTTGTTGGCATCAATTTATCTTTTTCACATGCAAGAGGCTAGTGGCTATTTTTCATAGAATCACAAAATGACAGAACTTTTGAGGTCAGAAGGGACCTTTAAAGAGCTCATCCAACCCCCTGCTCAAGCAGGGTCACCTACAGCAGGCTGCCCAGGACCATTTCCAGTCAGGTTTTGAATATCTCAAAGGACGGAGACTCCACAACCTCTCGCGGCAGCCTGCTGCAGTGCTCAGTCATCCTCACAATAAAGAAGCTTTGCCTTCTGTTCGGACAGAACTTCCTATGTTTCAGTTTGTGCCCGTTGCCTCTCATCCTATTGCTGGGCACCACTAAGAAGAGTCTGGCTCCATCTTTGCACCACTAAGAAGAAGGTTGTGCTCATTGCCTCTTATCCCGCCACTGGGCACCACTGTTCTTCTGTAGTCCCTGCCATCAGGTATTTATACACACTGATAAGATCCCCCCAAGCCTTCTCTTCTCCAGGTTGAACAGTCTCAGCTTTCCCAGCCTCTCCTTGTCTATCAGACGGTCCAATCCCTTAATCATCTTCGTGACCCTGCACTGACTCACTGCAGTCAGTCCACATCTTTCTTGTACTGCGGAGCCCAGAACTGGACACAGTACTCCAGGTGTGGCCTTACCAAGACTGAGCAGACAGGAAGGATCACCTCCCTCAACCTGCTGGCAATCCTCTTCCTAATGCAACCCAGGATGCTGTTGGCCCACTTTGCCACGAGGGCGCACTGCTGACTCATGGGCAACTCGTTGTCCACCACGAGTCCCAGGTCCTTCTCAGTAAAGCCGCTCTCCAGCGGGTCCGCTCCCAGCCTGTACTGCTGCTGCATGGGGTTATTCCTGCCCAGGTCCAGAACTTTGTGCTTCCTTTTGCTGAACTTCATGTGGTTCCTCTCTGCCCGCTTCTGCAGCCTTCCAAGGTTCCTCTCAATAGCGGCACAGCCCCAGCCTTCCAAGGTTCCTCTCAATAGCAGCACAGCCCTCTGGTGTATTAGCTACTCCTTCCTGTTTAGTATCATCAGCAAAGTTGCTGAGGGTGCATTCACGCTATCTGGTGTATCATCAGCCTCTTCTCACAGTTTTCTATTGTTTGCACCCATCACCCAGGTCATTAACGAATGTTGAACAGGACTGGCCCTAGTATTGACTCCTGAAGGACACCACCTGGACTATGCCACTGATCACAACCTTGTGAGCCCAGCAACTCAGCCAGTTTTCAGTCCACCTCACTGACCACTTGTCAGGAATAGTTATGTTTGTTAGGAATCCAGCGGCACAAGGAAACTGATACCAAGTCAAATTCTTGCAAAATACTTACATGTAGTCCTGACGTTAGTCCCATTGCCTAAGTGGACAAGGAATTTGCAAGTATCTCTTTATCAGCAGAGAAAGTGAATACTGATAATGAGGTAGTTTCTGGTAGTCAGGCACCTCTCACCCCAGCAGTCAAAACCCTACAAATACCTCAACTTTCATCATCCTCTTCAAATCTGGAGATCTCCAACTGTGTTGTATCAGTGTCCCATAGAATAGATACCACAGAAATTTGCAGGGTGATGGATATATTGATATATGAAAACCCAGACTGGGGCAAACTAACTCCCTCTGTAAGCTACTGCTGGCCTTCTTTCCTGAGAGAGGCAAAAAATGCTCACAGATAGCAAATCAATAGGATTTTCAGTTCTTTCTGGAGTAAAAGCACAAGCATGAATTGATTTTCTTCTTTTTCCCTTAGGCTGGTGGTGTGGCTTCTGGCTTCAGGCACGTGGTTCCCAATGAAGTAGCTGTCCAGAGGCTTCTTCAGGTCAAAGGCAGGCGAACAGTCCGAGCAACTGAGGTCCCTGTGACCTGGGAGAGCTTCAACACTGGGGACTGTTTCATCCTTGACCTTGGCAGTGTAAGTACCATGTAAAAGACAGGTTTAGTGAACTTTCAGGGCTGGGAGAGAGGTCTGACTAAATCAGTATGTGAAGAAAAATTGAAGTGATGTCAAGTGTTGAGCATTCTGAAACATTATTTAGCCAATATTTTAACATCTTTCAGGCCTGGCCATACAGCCATCTCATCCTTTTAGGCTCTGACACTGTGCAGCTGCATGGTCTTTGTCTTTCCCCCCAGGATATCTATCAATGGTGTGGCTCAAACAGCAACCGCCAAGAACGGCTGAAGGCCACTGTGCTGGCCAAGGGAATTCGGGACAACGAGCGGAACGGCCGGGCCAAAGTCTATGTGGTGGAGGATGGATCAGAACGGGAAGAAATGCTTCAGGTTATTCACTTCATCCATTTTTCTGTGCTGGAATGGGAAGGGTGGTATGTGGAACAATGATTGGGATGGGTAGACAGGCTCAGTATGGGGTATCTTTACATATCAAGTGTTAGTAGCATAAAGTTGCTCAATTCGTAATGATGGAGGCTTGGGCCTCTGCATTACTGGGAGATTAGTGTGTGTTATTTTTGCCGTTCTTGATATGAAAGTTTCTTCTACTTGTTCCTTGTGGTTGGAGCATCTGGGGAACAGAGATTCTTGTGGATCAGCTAGCAATGTTGTTTCTCTCTCTCGCAGGTTCTGGGACCAAAGCCCAGTTTGCCAGTGGGAGCTTCTGATGAAACTAAAACTGATACAGCCAATAGAAAGCTGGCTAAACTCTATAAGGTAACGAGAAACAGATGGACCCTGACAAATAACCTTGTGGAGGGTGGTCATCCTTGCACAATTAGATGGAGCTGGAATGGAGGAGAAGAGCTGATCTGATCTGAGTCCTGCTTCAGCCTAGTTCTACTGTTAGCTTCTTAAGTTTTGTTGAGCCTTGGTTACTTACACTGTATACCCACGTGCTTTCTGTTGTCTTTATCAGTATTGCTGACTCCAGCAAGACAACTGAGACTTTCATGAATTTTTGAGGGAATGGAATAGTGTGAAACAAGTGAAGAAAGGGAATCCTCCACTTTGTTATCAGGCTTTGTGTTAGGAAGATGACAGGAATAAATTAGGAACAGTGAGCCTGGGACCCAGACTCTACCCTTGTCTGCATCCAGCAAGCATGATGAAGCAACAGTTTGCCAGGTAATGTTTGTCACCAACTAGTATGAGTGCAGGAGGATGTCCAAGTCTTTTCAGGAGCAATTTTTCCTACAGCAGTCTCTGCTAATGATTTAGTGAATGTCTGCTGAGGTAGTTTATGAGGTAGACCTTTATCCATCAGTAAGCACAAAACTCAACCGTTAAAACCACTTGATACAGGGAGGCCTGTTCATAGTTACTAAGGCAATCTTTTCCAGTTTTGGATGCACTTGCTTTATTTTAAAAGATATTCTTGGCTGCTTTTGCAGCAAAGGTATTGCTACTTTGGATCAACCATTCTTGGGTCCCAGCAGTCTCTGCTTTGCTAGAAGTTCCTCAAATCTCCACAGTAGATGTTCTGTTTTTGTCATACTGTTGCTGTGTCAAAGACATCCTGTTTGGAAAACAATAGTACTCAAAGCAGCCAATGCATTCAATTTGATTTTCCTTCCGCTCTCTGAGTTTTGGACTATTGCTGTGGAGTGGAAGGGGAACATAATGATGCCTGATTTAATCTCTATGCTGTGTTATCACAGGTCTCCAATAGGGCAGGCAACATGGCAGTCTCTCTGGTGGCAGATGAGAACCCCTTCTCTCAGACAGCCCTGAATACAGATGACTGCTTCATTCTGGACCATGGCACAGACGGAAAGATCTTTGTTTGGAAAGGTAACACAGAGATGGAGGTGAAGGCGGTTATGTGTGCATAGGATCTAAATGCAGTTCCTGATCCCTGTTCCCTTCAAGCAAGGTAGGGGAGGGTGTATTTGGTGGTGGTGCTGCTAGTGCTTTTGGAGGTAAGTACAGACAGCATTAGCGATCTCAGAAATGCTTTCTCCCACTGCCTCCCTGGGGAGAAAAATTTAAATTTGTGTCGTAAGTAGAAAGGCAGTTGTGCTCTCATGGCCCTCACAGATGGGCATTGAAGTAATAAAGCAATTGTCACTTGCTACTCGGCATCATTTTCTAGCTGGAAGGCTGGACTCTTCTACTGTAATAAACTGTCCCAGGTACTTCTACTTTTTCTTTTCTCTCTATTTTCATTAAAGGAAAGAGCGCCAATTCTGAAGAGAAGAAGGCAGCCCTGAAAACCGCTTCGGAGTTCATTGAAAAGATGGGTTATCCCAAACATACCCAGGTAAGTAAGTGCAGCCCACCTATGACCAATCCCCAAACACCACTAAAGACACTTTTCTACCTCACAGGCCACTTACTCCAGAGCACAGCTACTGTGAAGTGGTCCCTAGCAGTCTTTCAAGCAGCTCCTCTTTTGGGAGATCTGCTCTCCTGCAGGGTCATTTTAAACAGTGCAGCTCCTGGGATAACACTGTCCTTACAGTAGCATTTCAGAGAATGGTTGAGGTTGGGAGGGACCTTTAGAGAACGTCTAGTCCAATCACCCTGCTTAAGCAGGGTCACCTACAGCAGGCTGCCCAGGACCATTTCCAGTCAGGTTTTGAATATCTCAAAGGACGGAGACTCCACAACCTCTCGCGGCAGCCTGCTGCAGTGCTCAGTCATCCTCACAATAAAGAAGCTTTGCCTTCTGTTCGGACAGAACTTCCTATGTTTCAGTTTGTGCCCGTTGCCTCTCATCCTATTGCTGGGCACCACTAAGAAGAGTCTGGCTCCATCTTTGCACCACTAAGAAGAATCTTGCTGCATCCTCTTTACACCCTCCCTTCAGATATTTATATATACACATTGATCAGATCCCCCCATCAGTCTTCTCTTCTCCTGGCTGAACACGCCCAGCTCTCTCAGCCTTTCCTCGTATGACAGATGCTCCAGTCCTTCAACCATCTTTGCGGTCCTTTGCCGGACTTGCTCCAGGAGCTCCGTATCTCTCTTGTATGGGGGGGCCCTGAACTGGACCCAGCACTTCACGCGTGGCCTCACCAGGGCTGAGTAGAGGGGAAGGATCACCTCCCTCAGCCCGCTGGCAACGCTCTTCCTAATGCAACCCAGGATGCTGTTGGCCCACTTTGCCACGAGGGCGCACTGCTGACTCATGGGCAACTCGTTGTCCACCACGAGTCCCAGGTCCTTCTCAGTAAAGCCGCTCTCCAGCGGGTCCGCTCCCAGCCTGTACTGCTGCTGCATGGGGTTATTCCTGCCCAGGTCCAGAACTTTGTGCTTCCTTTTGCTGAACTTCATGTGGTTCCTCTCTGCCCGCTTCTGCAGCCTTCCAAGGTTCCTCTCAATAGCAGCACAGCCCTCTGGTGTATTAGCTACTCCTTCCTGTTTAGTATCATCAGCAAAGTTGCTGAGGGTGCATTCACTCTCATCATCCAGGTCACTGATGAATAAGTTGAACAGGACTGGACCCAGTATTGACCCCTGGGGTATACCACTAGTTACTGTCCTCCAGTTCATGGTTAGAATAAAAAAACTCTTCCAACAGCTTAAGAGGGAAAATCTATATATAATATAATGGCATTTTGCATCTAATCCATATTATTTGATCTGATGTTAATCTAATGATTCTGTGTGCCCACTACTAGGGAATGAGGTTTGTGATATACTTTTGCCTGTATTTAGGATTTACCGCTGTTCTTCCTAGTCCTTGACAAAACTGCCTTTTAACTCAACAGAGCCAGAGTGAATCAGGTAGTTTCTACAGGATGCATTCCATTTTCTCCCCTTGCATCAATTTAAAAATGGCATTGAGTAAAGTGTTGTCATTTCTTTACAACAACAAAAAAAAATTACAGTGTCAATAGCTTTCATTTACTTTGAGATTACAGGACTACATGTACATTTATCATTCATGTAAGAGTAAGATACATATCAGTGAGGTATTTGTGGGCCATACCCCATATTTTCATAATTTTGGGTCATAATTAAATTGGCCTTCTTGTTTTGCAGTGAGGATACTATTCCAAATAAATCAGTGAGTGCTTTTCAAGCTCTTATTTTGGATTTTCCTCCTTTTTCCTCCTTTTAAATTATTTGATATTTCCTTTTATATTTATATAAGTATACATATATATATATAGCACGTCTGGAGTCAAAAACAACTGCCTGTCAAGAAAGCACAGAACAAATAGTTACCAAAGCACCCTGCTTCCAGATTAAGTTGAATAAAGGCTGCTTTCTTAGATTATGAGAGTGGGAATTTTATTGCTTGTGATGTTCAATTCTAGATATTTTAGAGGAGAACACATTATCCACAATAAACTTATAAAAGTACACAGCAAGTTTACCTTGGGAATGTCTCAAAAGACTGTTCAACAATTACAAGAAACGGCTGTGCACCAAGTTTTCCTCAATTTCCTGCCCAGAGTGTCAGCTTTTAACTTAATTTTTGCATTTGCAAACTCCACAAAATGTCCCCATTTGGAAAAAAATCCACAATGGGATTTTTGTTTAAAAAAGTAAGAAAATTAATGAAACAAAAGTATACTTTTATGTGATTTTGAATAACAAACACCTAAGCCAAGGCATGTAGTAAATTACAAGCTAAAGATATAATGGAACCATAAGTGTCTTCAGTTTATAAACCATGTACTTTTAAAAAAATCATCACAACAAGCAAACCATGTATAACAAATTGTCCTAATCAATTTAAGACGATGGAAAGCAGACCTCAAGAAAAAAGGAGTAGTTTGTCCTCTGCACACTCATTCTTTTGTGGTTGAAAAGAGGTAAAAATTATTTCCTTTGGATTTTTTTGAACAGTTAGTTAGATGAATCATCAGACTCTTTTTCAAGACATTTCATTGGCCCTGGAAGCTTCCACTGGACCTGAAGGAAGGTAGTTCCTAAAGCAAGCAGGAACATATCATCAAATCTACAGAGAGTACAGACTAACTGTGACTGTGAGATTTTTACACAATACTGCAAAAAAACTGCTCAAAGCTCTTATCTTTGGCACAGAAAATTAGACAATTAACAAGTGCTAATTCATGACAAATCACTAGTTAATAATTAACAGTTACAAAACCAATTAATAATTGTTTAGAAAGAATTTCAGTTCTCATGATATGCTGAAGAAGTCAAAAGTCCTATATACTGCTTCAAATTTGTACAGAAATGGTGTTTTCTGCTGTGCAGGCTGATTGGGTAAGTTGCTCTGCTGCAGTTGCTAAGGTCTCTGTTGAATGACGGCGCTATTAAGATACAGTTCTTGCATACTGGTGAATCACAGTGAGTGACTGATCTGGAGGTATTTCCTGTTCCTGAGCATGGAAGAAAGTGAAAAACTGACATTCCCCGAGTGCTACATTTGTTTTGTGCATTCTGTCATATCTGTCTTTCAGATACTAAGCTGTCTGCCGGAAAAGGATTCGAGGAATAACACAGAACTTTTTGATACCATGTCAAAATCAACTGAATGAAAGTAAAAAAAAAAAAAGATGAAATTCAAAATGAAATTCTTGGTTATCAAATGAACAAGAGACTTAGAAAAGTTTTTTAAAAAATGAGGCATAGAATTCTAGACAAGCAATAGTGTTCCAGGAATTATTTTTCTTTCAGTCACTGAAATCGTGTGCATGTTTAAATTAATCTGCTTAATAAACTTCCTGGCCTTTTGAAATTGAGCATGGGTTAATATGACTTCTACAGTGAGTTTTGTGACTATTGCACTGGCTAGAAGGTAAGAAAATGATTTCATTGATCCATGGTAAGTGGCTTATTTTTCTCGTGGCAGATGCAGTTTCCAGTATCTTACAGATCATTCTGTCACGTGCAATTGTGCCACGTGGTAATGCATTTGCTGAGTAAATTTTCAGTTTAATGAGAATTTTTTGGACTGATGAGATAAACCATCTTGCTTTTGGATTGACAAAGGTGAATTCTGCATGAAATGTAAACTCAGCTATTCCCGCAAGTAATTCCACAGAATGACTATTAAAAACAAAAGTTTGCTGGATGAAGCAAAAAACACCAGCAAAAAAGATTCAAAAACTGAATTCAGAGATTATGCAAATTCAAAAAATTCAGTTTATGTTCATGTATCATGTTCAAAATGCTTATAGGCACTGTTGAGAACAAAACTAAACTCGGAACATTGGAGGAGAAACACAAAACAGGCTGATACTGAGAATGAATCAGCATTAGGAAAACCTTCAGTCTAGCTTTTCTGCTATATTTCCTAATATCTATAGGAGCACTTTGAACAAAGTGACAAGGAGAAAAACTAAGAAACTTAAATTCAGCATGATGGCAGGCTGTGCTTGGTTGACTTTTTCGTTGAGCAAAATATTGCAGCACATATTGTTTGCATTTAAAGGATGGGAATCCTCATAATTAGGGATATAAAAAGAGAAGGATGGTCTGAAGAAAAGTGCCTGAGGGAGCATGAATGAGTAAAGGAAAGAAAGACAGGTAGCTGGTATGGCTGAACTTTAAAGGAAGGAATTAAGAGAGACAGACAAGAGCTATTCTAGATGAGAGGAGATAACACAGAGGCAGAAGGGGAGATAATTAGGCACTGCTTGTGACAGCTGTGGCATTGGTCTGGAACAGGGATAACATTGAAAGATTTAAGAGTAGGCCAAATCTGAGGCTGATTCTCAGCAGATCAGTACTTTTAAACCCTGGGCCACATGAAGGTAGATGTTCCAGAAGTGATCCTGCTCGCCATTTCATTGTGTTAGCAACACACTTAGCCTCTCTGTGAAATTCAGAAGCATCTTCTGCATCGCACCAAACCAGATATTGATGTTTTGACTTTCCACTTCGTTTAGGATGATAATCCTGGCTGATAAATAATGGAATAGCTCTCTCCTGCTAATAGAATAGGGTCTGAGGACAGGACCTATTTTAGGTGAGCTGCATTGTCCTTCTCACCCTGCTGACCACCTAAAACTTAGCTGGATTGTGATCTAGCTACAATGTCAATCCCAACAAGCACGGTGTGTACGAACCTGAGAAGAAGGGATATAAAAGGCTATGCTAAGAATAGTAAGTAAAATGTACCTACAGACGTTCCATGGCACTGAATCAGTGGCATAACTTACATCTATGACAGTAGCTTTGCTGTCTCCCGAAACAGTGTGTGTTGCCCAAACGCAGGTTCATTGGAATGGGCAGTGGCCCAGCATGTTGCATACACCTTCGTGCCTACTCAACTGCTTGCGTCTCTAGCAGTACACAGTCTTGTCTCATCTGCCTTGTGCAATGCATGCATATGCTCAGACCTGCCTGAAAAGTAGCCTTGAAACCTATTGCTTTATGCCATGACACATTGCCAGTGTTGGCTACTAGGATGCCTCAGGATACCTGGCCTCCTGAAATCTTGCTGTTCTTGCTTGTTTTGCTGCTGCAGTTCACATTGGACAGCCTTCTCTAGCCAGTGTTGTGGTCACTTCCTCCTTCTGGGAAGAGGCTCACAGA